CCAATCACGATAAACCCTTACTTGCACCAATCACGATAAACCCTTACCTGCACCAATCACGATAAACCCCTACCTGCATCCACCTATCACCATCCCAACTACCCTTCCCTCTGCACCCCCCACCCTCCCTCTATTTATTTCTGCGTTCCCCTCCCCCTCCCCAGTCCTGATGAAAACATTGACTTTCCTGCTCCTCTGATGCTGTCTGACCTGCTGTGCTTTTCCAGCTTCATACCTATAGACTCTGGCTTCCAGCATCCACAGTCCTTATTGTCTCCAATGTGAGGAGTGTTTCTCCACAATGATTACAGAGATAGTAGGAACTGCCAATGCTGGAGAATCTGAGATAACAAGGTGTAGAGCTGGATGAACACAGCAGGCCTGCTGCTCTGATGCTGCTTGGCCTGCTGTGTTCATCCAGCTCTACACCTTGTTATCTCCACAATGGTGCCTTTCATAGAGATTCCTAAGGCATTGCTTCTTAATTCAGTTTTGATGATCTGGAACATGCTGCCTGAAGAGGAAGTGGAAACAGAATCAATGGTGATTTTTAAACTAGATTTGGATTTTATTTGAAAAAGAAAAATTAGTAGGGCAATGGGGGAGAAAGCAAAGGATTATGATTAGTCGTATGGCTCTTTTAGAGGACTAGTACAGGCATGGTGGGCTGAACAGCCTTCTCAGTGTTGAAATATTCTATTTCTATGTGATATACAACTTTAACAAGGTGAAAAGACGAGCAGATAAAACTTCAGCTTTTGAAAAAAAAATGCGGTATGGTGACATTGAAATCAAACTAAGCAGGTCACTGTGAAAACTGCAACTGTTCAATTGTCAGAGTGTATGGCTTGCTATAGCCCTCGACTCTATTTTGAAGCCATTGCTGTCCAATTTCAGAGGTCACCAGGCCTTTATTCATTAGAGTTTAGCAGAACGAGGGCCAAACTTATTGAAACATACAAAATTCTGAATGGGGACTTGATAGGGCAAATATTGAAAAGATGTTTCCTCTGGTGGGGGATCTTGAAATATCTTTTCACCTTCCTCTACCTCACAGGGGCCAGCATGACTAATAGTGACATGCACTATCCCACTAAGCTTACTTCAAAGGTATACAACTTCATCCTGCAGGTACAGCCCCATCACTGGCCACCATGAGTGGAGATGTTGCTGAGACAGCTCGGCTACTTGTGCTCTCTTTGAGGCAGCAGCTCTTGGTGATGGACCATCATCTGGAATAAGACGGTAATCTTAATGGCAGCCACTTAATGCAGCCCTTCTACCTGCCAGTGTGGTGTCTCTCCCAGGTTTTGGTCACCACAGTGGGATCACGGCTGCTTCTGCAAAATTCTGTCTTGATTTCAACACAGTGCGGAATCAAAGTTGCAAGACTTATATGAACTAATTTCCTCTCATCTGTTCCAGTTCATATCAACACACAAAAATGTGAGTTAAATCCTCACAAAATTAATACCTTAGGCTTGTTCCTGAGACTGAATGAAGTTTCCTTTGATTTTCACCTGTTCAATTGTTACTCCGAAGCCAGCTTCATCCTGAATTCGTTGCTCATCTTCCATTCTCTCTCTCTTCCAAAGGTGAAAATGCTTCTCACTCGAGAGTTTCACAAAAGCATGATGAGCAGGTGGGCTGGCCTTGATATTGTCTGCGTCAGGCTGGAGCACCTCCGAGACGTGGCTGAGCTGTGCACTTTGGAGGCCAAGGTAAGCACACCTCATTTCTTACTATCTGAGTGAGTTATAAGCCCAACTGCGAAGCCTCTTTTAGGGATGTCCACCTTGAAGAAGTTATCCTCCTCCCTCTGGAAAGACCTCAGTGGATCTCTCTCCCACTGCAATCCTCTGGTAATCTCTTCGGCCCTGAAACTCTTCACTTCTCCAGTCCCAACCCTCCTCTGTCTATTTATTTCTGAGCTCCCTATCCCCTCCCCATTTCTGAAGAAGGGTCCCAAGCCGAAACATCAACTTTCCTGCTCCTCAGATGCTGCCTGGCTCGCTGTGTTCCTCCAGCTCCACACTGTGTTATCTATGGTGTCTCATGATACCTCTCAACCACGCTGCTAATTTTTTCTCACGTTGTTGATCCAATCCACTCTTGAACTTATTATTAGTCAGACCCCCACAGTCTCCCATAATAATTCATTCCTTACCTTCACTATCTTTTACAATTGGCTGTTAAATCTAAGCTATGCTTTCACCCTCCCTGAATCAACTGCAGGTCAGCACATTATTGGGATTTTTTTAATATCTTGTCTGGAATAGAAATGTTTCTAAACAGAGGTGACTATTTCAAACTTACCAGGTAACCTTTCTTGGCTTGCCATGGAGAGCAACCATTAGACACAGGTAACTAGTGGTTCTTATGTCTTTATCACTTTTCATTTTAGGATATTCTCTCAGGGGAGCTCTACTGTTTTGGAGACTACCAGCTGATTGGGCATGGAACCATGGGACAATTGTATGGGGCTCCATATTTAACAACTCAAAAGATGCTTCCTCTTCTCAAACAGTTAATAGGCCTGTTAGAGACCAACAAGAATATCATTCTATCTCCAGATACTTTGAATCTTGTAACATGCCATGGTAAGCATTGGATTTTTTCCCACTTCTATTGGTTTGCCATCTCTTCACCTTCTGTGGTTAAATATTAAATGTTCTTGGTGGTATGAATATGTAATTTATCCAATATGGTTTTCGAACTCCATTTATCCCATGTCCATGTATTGCTTTATCTTATATCATCACTCAGGCTGAATATGCCACTTCTCTCCACTCCATGATCCAGTCTCCGTGCAACTAATCTGGTGCCATTCTTGCAACTGATACCATCAAAGTGCATTCTGTTAGCGCAGAGCCATCATGTACAATGTGGAAGTCTAAATTCAAGCTTGTTGATAGCCTTAACAGATGTGAGCATTCCCTCCATGGTTTGTGTCATCTTGTGTTCAGAGCAAAAGAATGATTTAAAGCAAAGGCTTGGCAGACACAAAAGTACCTTATTATGTGGTGCCTTTAACTTAAAGACAATGTTATGAGAGCCAATCCGCAGTGTGACATGTGATAAATGTGAAGTCGGCCTAGAGGAAGGGAGTATAAGGCTGAGGGCATGTCACCGAGAGAGTACTGACCGGAAAAAGAAACAAAAGCAGAACTCAACCAATCTGAATAAATCAGCCTCCCTGAGCCAGAGGTATATTTGAAGAGCAATGTGGGAATTTTGTATCATTGTGTTTCTGTTATATTGACTCAATGATAGATCTTTTCAATCTTGCAGAGAAAGACAGGGCCAAGCTATTATCCCAATCTCCACTTATTAAGCTCCTGAAGGAAATCAATGAGCAACTGAAAACAAATCTAAAAACAGAAGAGCTTTGGCTGGAGAATGACCATCAACAGAACACAACTCAAACTGAGGCCAAATACCAAGGTACATTGACTTAATAAATGATTCCAGTTATGAATGTTTCCCCTAATCAAAAAGAAATCAATCCTTGGCCTTGTAATGCATTGCTGTTTATTTTGTTCACTCATTAAAAGCTTCTCTAATGTCAACAAATTGCTATTCACCTCTGACAACTATCTCTCTGAGATTGTTTGCACATTTTTACAAGTAATCACCATATCTTCAGAAATACCTACAAGTATAGTGAAACTACAGTGCTCAACTGGAATATTGCTTGCGCAAACTAAAAATGTTAATCTTGAACTGGAGTACTTTCAGATGAAATAAATTTTTGGGAATCATACTTATGTCAATTGAGATCAGATATTGTTTAGTTCCAGAAGCGGACAGACCATACATAGATATTACAGATGCCCAGTGGACGTGTGAAGGAAAGCTTGTGCCAGTCTCCCTTGAGACAATTTCAGTGCCTGAGCTGGTTGTCTATCGGTTTGGAATCTTTATGGCCCAGCTAGTGAAGAAATCAATAAATGTAAGAGCTTCTGATATACTTTTTTTTTTAACTCTAAAATCTTTCCTTCCCTATAAGATCTCACGTATGAAACGTTTTCATCTTCCTCACTCTTCGTTTTTAGTTGATGATGGGTTTTCCTTCATTGTAACAGGGAAAGCTAACAGGGGATTTAATAATGATTTTCAAAATAATGAAAGGGACAAACGCTGAGAGATTGAGAGATCTGTTATGATCCCAGCGAATATTATTACTGGACAAGTCAGATCCCACACTGAAATCTGGCTTGATAGATCATATTTTGTTGTTTTGTTTTAATGAGGTGATTGTTCATTGCAACACAAGCACAAATGTTACAGATTTGGTTTTAACAATAATACAGAAGTTTATTATCCAAAATAAATGAAGCTAAAATAGAATAAGCCAAACCATTTACATATAACACAAGTTTAAAGATTTCAAAACACACAGTAAACTACAATTCCATTAATCCCAAGAACATTTATTTACATTACTCACACCATACAGAATTTCCTTCTCTACCAATTCTGTAAGACTTTTAATAAATGTGGTTTCACTTCCCAACTGGAGGATTTGATAGCCCTTTCTTAGAACTTCATACAAATAAGCTTAGACTTTCTTTGCTTCAAATAACCCCTTCAGGTTTGTAACTAAACATTTCTGGTCTGAAATGTTTAAACTAAATTTCTTACACTGAGATAACCAACTTCTAAACAGTTCTAAACTACATCCCTTTCTTAGGAGCAACTATTCTATAGCCCAGATTTCTGCAAAACCTGTTAAACTGAAACCCAAAAGCTTTTTTTTTTCCAGGTTATGAATTTTTCCTGAAGCAAAAGAAAAAAAATCAATCCCTAGCCTTCTAGTGCACAAATGTTTACTTTGTTCATTGATTAAACTCTTCAAATGTAAACAAATTCCTGTTAGCCTCCAAGAACTATTTCTCTCAGACAGTATATTTTCCCACAAGTAATCACCATAGCTTCAGAAATAGCTACAAGTTAATCATTAAATCCCTTCAGGCACATCATCTAAAACCCACATGCTACTAGTTCAAAATCCAAACTTTAAATTAAATAAATCACATTCTTTTCTTTACAGATTGTTTACATTTGTTGAGAATCAGTAACAATGTGGCATAGACTGAGGTTATCAACAGAAGAACAAAAGGGGAGTTCAAAATATTTTTATGTACGTGAATATAAAATGGAATGCATTACAAGTTACTATTGAAATAGAGCCTATAGCATCATTGCTAAGTGAAATATGATAGTTGAAAAGGAAGAATATATAAGAACATTTAGATAAAATTGGTAAATGGAATTAGAATAGATAGTTCCAGTTAAAAAGTTAAGATTGGCCAATACTGTGGTATGTGACGGCTACATGTTCTTTTTCATATTACTGTATGGTTCTTTTAAATTTAACCTTGGCATTGTTTAAGTCTTGTTTGCTGAGTTAGTGTCATTTTTTATAGTTAAGACCTGTGTAAGCGCCAGGCGCCACAGTCCTTACAAACAAAAGCTCCATGCATAAGTATGAGAAAGGATCCATTTAGTAACAGTTAATAATAGCAATGATAAACAATACCAAAACAATATTTCATACTTGACCTTGCGCTTTTCTCAAACCTTTTCTTACTTTTTAGAAAACCTTAGCTTTGTTATTTATGCTAACATCAACCCCCAACCACCAGCTCCACTCTACTGTGGTTAAAAGAACCACAACTCCCTCTTTTATTCAGAGAATGTGGGGATCATTGATCAGGATAGTATGATAGGATGTTGGTTTTATACCCTGTCTGATTTTATACCCTATTGAACAGTGGGACAATGCTAGATGGCATCCTAAACCAAGGGCAAACGAATCTCACTGGCTTTCTGTCTGGCACTTTAAGTTAAATTTGCTGTAATCATCGCTAACTGTTACTCTGATGGAAGAATAATGTGTTCACGTTTCTCTAAAGGCTCCAGAGGTCAATATGCTTCTCGCCTCAAGTTTGCCGACCAACAATTATACGCACAATGCTTTCCGCAATTCCTTTTTTTATCAGGTATGTACCTCAGTGGAACTTATCCCTCTATCAACAGGAATTGAGAAGGGGTGAAAAACTCATCCCATCCCTTACAAAGTCAATAGTGTCAGTGGTCAGACTAGGGTGAGCTAGGGACAGGGACCTGCTGTGCTGGGGACTCCCATTTGGTGGTTCGGAGATGTCTGAGATGAGATGTACCTGCCTCCAGGTGGGCAACAGTGTACAGGGTGGGGGTGGAGGGTTGGGAGTGGAGGGGGGTTAATGGAGTCAAGGATGGTGGGGTACAGCAGGGTGGAAAAAGATCTGTGCACGGGATGAGTATTGATCCACAACAAAAAGGCATGTTTCTGAAGCTTGTGTCATTTATGGGGATAAAAGGTATAATTTCAGGTCTTGGGAAGCATTCAATTAAATCCTGTTCAGTAATGACCAGGTAGTAGAGACTTTGGCAGCATTGTGTGTGTGGGTGGGCACTGGAGATGTGCCCATTGTTTCGCTGGCACCCACAGGTCCCTTTGGAGTTCCTTCCAGCTGACCTCAAAAGCTCCTGGTGAGATCAGTACCACAAGAAACGGGAAGATAAAATTCAGCTGTGGCCATTGGAATCATGAGCCACAACTTTCCAGTCCGTATTAAATATAAGCAACATGTTTCAGGGAAAAACACAAAAGTAGTATTTCTTTGGCTAAATTAAAAAAAAATACAGCTATCTGACACAAAACTGTGTGGTAAAACTCCTTAATGATTAAATTTGCAGTTGAGGAAAATCTCTATACAATAGTAAAGATGCCCTCTTGTGGTACAGCGGTAGGACTGAGAGACCTGGGTTCAAGTCTCACCTGTTCCAGTGCTGTCTAACAATGACACTGAATAAGCTGATTAGAAAAATGTGTTAAGTACAATAGCAAAGATTCTCTGACAAGCAAATTTACAATACTTAACATTCTTCTCAATGGATATAACATACTTCTGGCCAGTTTTAGTACAGTCCTAAAACCTGATTTCGATCTAACATGAATAAATCAGTCCAATCTTCCTTTATTGTTGGTATGGGTACTATATGAACTACATATTGATCCTAGTACAGCTCATGATGATCTAGCGGGCAGACTTACCTACAATTGACCTGTCACACAGATTGTCTGTAAGGTGTAAGGTGTAAGGGAATACTCAGATTGATGCAGCAGCAAAAGGTCCTCCAAGGCCTATCTTAAAGTAATATTGAATTGTTCTTCCAGTGCCAGCTAAATAGAAATTTAGCTTCAATCAGGCTAGCCTTGCTTATTAGAAAGTACAGGCAGAAGGAAAATAAATGCTCCATTCTTAATTTCATAACCCCAATGTAGCATCAAAGCCTATGAAGTGTTCTTCAAAACTTCTTCTTTCAGCATTCTCAGAAAACATTATTCATACGAAGACAACAGCTAGCATCAGTGGGTACCTTCTACCTCCTCCTGGTCCACTGTTTGTCTCACCTTGCCGCAGATGAGCTCAGCGATGACTCCAATCCTCTGTTCCTTCAGCTCTTTCACCAGGTAATGTTGGAGGAAAGGGGAGCAGGGGAGCCAGTAACATGGCACTAATGTCACTGTATTAGTAATCCAGAGCTCCAGTCTAATGTATTAGGGAACACAGGTTTGAATCCCATGTCAGCAGATGTTAAGATATTGAATTTAATTTTAAAGATCTGTGGGATGACCACATGGAGGCTGCTATCCTATCACTAATTCACCCTTTATTTACATGAACAGTACATACACTCTGACCAGCTAGTTCAGAGCCAATCCCTAGAATGAGGAGAACCCCTGAGACTCATGTTTATATCTATCAGCCAAAGCTCCCTGATTGGCCATGGTTAATAGCCCCAATTAGGGATCTCATGCTCAACAAGATCCACCCGGCTAACCTTGTCCCAATCAAAAGTTGGCCTGATAGCAACTATGTAACTATCATTGTTTAAAAAATTCTGGTTTACTAATCTCTTTTATGGAAGGAAATCTACTGTCATTACTTGGTCTTGTCTACATGTGACTCCAGATCCACAATAATGTGGTTGATACTTACCTCCTTCTGAAATGACTGAACAAATCCTTAGTGCATGGGGAAACAGGAATTGGTAATGAATGCAATCCAGCCAGAAATGCCCAAATCTCATGAACAGGTAAAGAAATAGAATCATACAGTATTATAGTAACGCCTTGAGGGGTGATGATGGCACAGTGGTGATGTCATTGCACTAGTAATCCAGATGCCAAGGCTATTGCTATGGAGACACTGGTTTAAATTCCACCATGCTGGCTGCTGGAATTTAATTTCAATTAGTGACTAGGATTCTAAGCTATCAAAAATTGTTATTTGAAGAAAACCTCATTTGATTCACTAATATAATTAATGGATGGAAATCTACCATCTTTGTCTGATCTTGCATACATGTGAATCCAAACCCACAGCAACCCAACAAGAGAAAACATTAATAGTTGGAAATATCATAGAATCCCTACAGTGTGGAAACAGTCCCTTCGGCCCAACAAGTCCACACTGACCCTCAGAGCATCCCACCTCCTATAACCCACCTAATCTAGGCATCCCTGAACACTATAGGCAATTTAGCATGGCCAATTCACCTAGCCTGCACATCTTTGGACTGTGGGAGGAAACTAGAGCACCCAGAGAATATCCACGCAGATAAGGGGAGAATACGCAAACTCCACACAGTCACCCAAGGGTGGAATTGAACCCAGGTCTCTGGTGCTGTGAGGCAGCACTGCTAACCACTGAGCCACCGTGCCTCCCTTCAGAAATGTTCATACTGGAGATCCATTTTGAAGTTTACAAGGCGAGTTGGAATGGAAATGTGTCATTCACAAGTTTTTACTGGTTTTCTACCGGGGAATGTGGTTGACTCTTAACTGGCCTCTGAAAATGGCCTAGCCAGCCCCTCAATTCGAGTGCAATGATACCTACGTTCTGAAAAAATAAAGATTGCACAGTATAAGGCCATCACTTTATTCATTGGTGCATTCTACCCAAGCAGGCAAATCTGAAATCAAATGCCTCTTGTGTTCTAATCTCAGGCGTTGAAGACCTTGTTCAAAGATATGTTCTTCACCAGATTTCAGATTCTTCCTCCTATAAATGCATGTGAGCCAAGGGCCTCTACATCCAGTAAACTATTCCAAAAGGAATTCCACTCAGAAATCTATACTGATGCAATTTCTGATTTACTGAATATCGATATGAAGGACTCAACAACATTGACATTGCTTACAGAGGTATTGGTTGTTGATTTTTTTCCCAAAGTATATTGAAGAATACATTGTTAGTTTGACTATTTCCTTGGTTTAAAGAAATTCTGCGCTCCCTTATTGCCTAAAGCACTCAGAGCAAGAAACTAAAGACTTGCAACCTGCTGCACCTAGAATCATCCTAGAGTTATTTTCATTTGATGAAGTGCTTTGAAGTGCAATGACTGTTTGAGTGTTAAATATTTTGCACATAGCAAGAACCTACAAAGACCCAATAACGTGATAAATGAACGGTTCTTCTGTGATTGGTGTAACTGATTGTATGTTAAATATGTGCCTTCAGAGCACTTGAATTCCAAGAATTTCAGACATCATCACGTAAGTGGAGAGGGTGAGGCAACCAAAAATGGCAAATATGCACAAGAAAGCTCATTGAGGGAGTTTGTAAATTCATCTGAAGACATCCAATTTGGATTCATATTTATGAACCTTCACTGAGAACATGGTCTTGCTAAATGGACCGATGTGTGTATTTTTCAGCAATTACAACAGCACACAGAAGCTAGAAACAACAAGACAACTGGGGCCCCAATGAAAGGCCAACGAGCTGACAAAATAAAGGGATGTCTGCAGGGCCAGAGTGAAGAACAGAATGACAATGGGTAAGGGGTCAATGCACTCACTAACACGTGCATCCTATTACTTCAGAGCTGCATACATCTGATGAAATATCTGGATAAATTGTTCAATGATTAAAATTAAACTATATCGATAAGTACTCAGTATTTTCTTCATTCAGAGTACATTCTTACACTAAATCATTTTGAACAATGTGAACACAGTTTATTACAGAAAAGCCCTATATCTTATCATACTTTGGTGTACCCCTGTCTCACACTGTATTGATACTTAATAAGCCACCATTGGAACAAGGAATTCATCTTAAAAGATCTTAGAACATTCAATGTCCCTTTCTAAAGTGATTTATAGCTTTTAGTTTTTTTTTAGATCTAACTTAGATCAGGTGTATCTTTCCAGTCTGAGTTCATGCTAGTCAATTTCACAAATAGTTAAAGATTTGGGTTTGTAAGATGAACAAATAAGAAGCTGCCTGACAATGTCCTCCAATTAGCCTGCTTAATTTTAATAACTCTCAGATGTGTTATAAACATCCCAGATATTTTAAGACTCCAGGACTTTTCTCCACAGAAAATAAGAGATTAGAGTTCATTTCTGTTGTAACAAAAATAAGCTTCCTGAAACAATTTACTAATTTTACAACGTCTTAAAAGAAATGAACAATGAATACACTTAATGCAGGGAAGTATAATGCTGTGCCAAACATTACCAAAATATGTAATGCCAAATCTAACAGAATCCAGTCTGATGTTATTTTCACAAAAGCAAGATACTGTGGAAGCTAGAAAGCTGAAATAAAAACATACAGTGCTGCAGCATCTGTGGAGAGAGAAACAACATTACATTTTGTGTCCAGTATGACTTTTCTTCAGAACGGGTATCTTCAACATGGTATCTTCAGCAGTCTGAAGAACTGCACTTTCTGATGTTACTTATAATGATTCAAGAATACCTAGGAATATCTTAGTATAACCAAGAATAAAATATCTCACAATATCCATCAAAATTTAAAGTTGTTTTATCTCAACACACTGGATTTGTAAGAAATGTTTTCCACTAGGGGAAAATATCTTCTGAGGAGTGGTAAATGAAATCCTCTAATGAGTATGAAGTTGTGAGATTTACATTTTCAATGTTTATATTCCTTTCATCTCTCCCGTATTTGTTCAATCTTAAACAAACTCTTCATTGAACATTGATCAGTAAAGATGTTTTATTTCTTTGCCTTTATTAGTATTACCTCATGCTGGTTGCTAATAGTATTCATTTGATAAGGATTTTTGCCATTCTTACCAGTTGGATGGTTCTAGTATTTGTTCTGTAATTAACATTTTATGTGCATGCCCAGGTTGTCGACGTTTCTCTTTTTAGACTTTCTCTTAGTGATTAAACTTTTGTTTTTACTTTTTCATTATCTATGCTGAACATTAAATTAAATAATAGCATAAATGTGCCATGTTTGGCATATTATTTTCTGCTATCTGCAATAGAATTTATCATTTTTAAATCCTAAATGTATTTTTATCTTTAAACATTTTTAAACATCTATGTGTGTCCTAGCTAATTAGTTATACTTAATACTCCAAAAGACCTATATTTCTAACCAGTTATCATTACACCTTTCATCCAAAGCCATTACTACAACATTTTTCCTTTTTCTATGATAAATGCTGTTTTATTAGGACATCACTTGGAATTGCACTAATCTTCTTTACCAACAAAACTGTTGGAAGGGCAATATTTTCATGTCTCTCAATGAACATCTGGCCCACTGTAAGAGTTGTAACTCAGGAGGCCCAAATGGATACTAAACACATCATCACAACCCTTAAGTTACCTGGTGGAAAACGAGCCTACCAGGGAAAATATTCAACCTGCTGCTGCAGCCGGTGCCCCTTACTGAGCCCACCACCTATCCATGTCCACAAAGTGAAGTGTTAGATAGAGATCCAGTTAGCCTCCTCAGCCAGCTGTAGCATGGTACCAAGGCAAAGAAGAGCAGGGTAACAGCCTCCAGTGCCTTGGCCTCTTTGGTGCCCTCAACATCTTTAAAAACAGAATATCCTGTCATTGACTTGTTGCCATATGTGGGAAATTGCTGTGTGCATATTTGCTGCTGCACTTTCTACGACAGTGACTGCTTTGAGATGCCACAGATTGTGAAAATCACAGAAAAATGCAAGTCTTTCTACTTATCTTCATACTGACAGCAAATTGTAACAGCAATTTTAAGCACACAAGCTTGTCAGAAATTTCCTTTCTGTTACCTTGCCGGAAATGTAGGGGATAAAGTAATTCAGTCAAACACATTAAGAATTTGTATAGTGGAATTCAGTGACAGCAATATGGGGCTCATAAGATGATGATGATATAAAATGTTAAACAGCAAGAATGGCTAAGATTGAACTATTGACAGGCACGGAGAGGAGTTATCTTTTAGATCTTGCCAAACGTTGCTGTTTTGAATAATTGGGCCATAGTGACAGTGTAATTAAAAATCTGTCTCATTCTGAAGGGTTCTCTCTGGTTTACATCAGCCAGCGTTTTATTGTGGAGCTTTCACAATGTACAGGTCATGATTCCAAAATAGCCAAAACCATGAGGCAATAACTAAACATAGTTCTTGGGGCTGAAGGGATGAAAGGCGATGGGCAGAAAGCAGGAACAGGGGACAGGGTCAGATGAACAGTCATGATCATATTGAATGGTCGAGAAGTCTCGAAAGGCCAAATGGCCTACTCCTTCTCCTATGTTTCTGTGAGGTTCATGAACTAAAAATGAAATGTATTGCAGCTGTAAAATTAAACTCTTATATGTTCATGCAGAATTTTCTTCGAATCCAAATCAGAACTGGATCTGGAAGATATTGAAGAGAAGATAGATAATATAACCATGGAGCTGTCTGCTATCTTTGAGGCGGAGCGCAAGGTACAATGGAGCACGGTGTCTGTCTCCAAGAAAAGAGCCGCCTTAAAGGAAATTGAAGAATTGGAAGCAGAATTAGATAGCAAGAAAAAATGAACTCTTTCCAACTATCCTACTGTTGCCCTACTGCACTTGGTAAAATCATGTCATACATTCATGAGCAAAATTTGGCAGGGCTCCAGGGAAGAGCATTGAACTGAGACTAGAGTCATACATGGCTGGCTCAGTGGTCAGCACTGCTGCCTCACAGTGCCAGGGATCTGGGTTTAATTCCAGCCTTGACTGTTTTCACATTCTCCCCATGTCTGCATGGGTAACTCTGGATGCTCTGGTTTCATCCCACTGTCCAAAGATGTGCAGCGTAGATGGGTTGGCCATGGTGGATTGGGTGGGGGCTGCTGGGTATAGGTGGGATGCTCTTCAAGAGGGCTGGTGCAGACTCGATGAGCTGAATGGCCTCTTTACACACTAGGGATTCTACGATTCTGTGATACAGTCATAGAGATCTATAGCATAGGAAAAAGGCCCTTCAGTGCATTGTGTCATGCTGGTCAAAAAACAACAACCAGAATATTCTAAGATAACAAGGTGTAGAGCTGG